CATTGAAGGTAAGTGCCGGGAATATGTCATTTCAGACATGATTCAACCTGACAGGCTTCTAGGTTTCACCTCTAGTGCCGGCCCACAGGCCTCTGTTACGCCATCATGTAAGTGATTAGCATTCATTACTTGGTTAGTACATTGCTAATTTATCCCTCGTTTATTAGCTATCCCTGGTGAGCATAAATCTGTGTTTATCACGGTCTTACTCTTATGTTGTTTATGTAGAAACATTGTCCTGGGAAGGTATGCCTCTTGATTGAGAGTCCGTTGAATACTAAACTTAATGTTTCATTTGCAGGCATTGATGAAGAGTCTGAGAGTTCGGACGAGACAGGTACGTGCCTGGCATCTTATCATCCACGTAATAATGAATTCTTTTCAGTCACAGATCAAGAGGGTGTCTCAGAAGGGGATGTTTTACAAGAGGAAAAAGAAGACACAGAAGAGGATAGCAACGTGCCAGCAGGTTTGGGTTATATTTTATTACAAGTCCCTTTAATTGACTCCCCGATTGACAGACAAGTCAATAGAAATTATTGAATTAGACCAGTCACCTGTTGCGGGTCCCTCAATGCAACTTGGGCCCACACTGAGAGTAAAAGGCAACGGATTAGTCAAGGCTGCATTCAAGCGAAAACGGGCAGGCGAGGATGCACCAAAGGATTCAGCTCTCAAAATGAAACGTCCCAGATCCATAGGTGCCACCAAGCCGCGACCAAAACTGGTCCTTCGGAGAGTGGTTTTCTCTAAAAATAAAAAGCAGTAACTTGGCATTTATTTCGTGCGTGGGCCGCCTATACTCTACATCTATACCATTACTGTAGCTATCGCCTTTTATCACACATTGAGTTGCCCATTTTAATCTTGTGGCCTGTACAAATCATGTGAATAATAAGAGTACACGGGCAGTGCGTAGTAAGAGGTAACTCTCCGCCCAAATGTCGGAGTGAGCTTTAGAGTATTTTGTACTGCGATGCTCCTGTCGATGCACTGGAACATGGAGCAAATGACATTATAAAAATGGCGACTTTCCCCGAAGTGTTGGTGCCACATTTGGAGCATAATTGAAACGAATTGTGAACGAGTAAGGACTCACACACAAATATCGACAAAACAATATCAATGGTTGAAGGAAAGGGGTAGCGAGAATATTTTGACGCCTGGGAGGTACAGATGTGCTGTATTGGCAGGAAGAGTGACGCATAGGATCACGAGTAGGGCCTTCCCAGTCAGGAAGTTGATATAGCTGCGCGTTGCGGTATCAAGGTGATGTCGCTTATAAAAATGAGGATTCGTCCTCTATGTACTTCACGAATTTTCGTTTTCCTGTCCCTGTGCCTTTATTACGGCGTTTGTTGAACTGTTGAACCATGAGTGTTCCATTAGTTCAAATGAGGGCCGTGATATCGGGATACCTAAAAGTGTCCAAATTCAGCGTGAACAAGGGTTGGGAGAGGACTAACCATTCCCATCTCTGTGCACCTGATTCGTTGTTTCCATAACCATGAAAGATATCGAAGCTCATTGCATGGACAGTCGTGATCCTCGCGAGGTAACTGTTACTAAAGAAACAGGAACGAGGCCCTGGATCGATCTAATTTACGATCCAGACAGAAGGCGAAAACGTGAAGCGAATGTGGCGTTGCGTAGTGAGCATATTTTAAGAAATGGAGAGACGAGCTCACCTCGGAAGCATCCAGGCTTCAGGGGCTACACAACATTCCCAGCGTATTAATTTGAGCAGTTAGTCGCACCAAGTGGTGGCATGTTGAGTATTTACACGAAATGCGCCCCACAAGCGTGGATAAACCTCGTTGATACTTGATTCGTTACCGTAGGTCGTAGTCCCAGATATCTAGTCATGGGCGTCTGTTCCTTCGGCGATTTCGGCGATGTTGAAAGAGCACAGCCACTAGCGCACGGACCAACGCCGCGAAAATAAACCCAAACTCAAACTCGACATACAGCTATGCACTAGGTCTCTCTCCCCCCCCGCTTGGCGTATCTGGGATTCCCTTGGTTTAATGGAGTTTCGTTCTTCAGTTATGGTGAACAGAAACCGCCGTTCGGGCCCATAGTTGAGAGGGTTACTCTAGATATATTCTAGATCCACAATATTGTGAGTAGGTATATCTGGGAAAATACAGGAGGGTACCTACAATGGCGGGACATTTCCTGTTAACCCCACCGTACCGCCGAGGGGAATTCAAACTTGCGTTCTCTCTGAATTCGAGTAAAAAGAATACAAAGTGGTCCTCGATGGTGTAGTGGTTTTAACACGTGTCAATGCCAATGAACGCCTACGTTGGCCTTCATTATTGACAGATCCTGGGATCGACCCCCAGGCGAGGATCTACATATGAAGAACTGAAAAGAACTTTTTTATTCCTGGAAAATTGATTAAAGAGTGACGAACTTGTGATGAAATACCTGGTAAGCGGATGATCACAATGGGTACTTTATATCAATGTAGGTGATTTGCATTGTTGTGATCCCCGGGTTATCTGGAAGGGAAACTCCAGTAAAACCGGATACCCTGTCAACGAAGCGAGGGCTTCGATGTGATTCAGAGAGGAACCCTCAACTCGGTGCGTCTTCTACTGGCTATGACCAAAATCGATATTATATCTTTACAGATTATATCACCGCGATAAATAGTTAGCAAGGCTATATTGGAATAAGTTACATTCTATCCGTATGGATCTATTGTGCCTCCGCGTATATATAGATGAAGCCTAATGTCAACTAAGGCTGAGCCGTGAAGGAGAGAAATTGCAAGTGGCCGGAGGCGTACGTCACTAGTTTGCAAGTGGGAGAATATCTGCACGGATTCCCATACGTCTCAAATCCAGCCTTGGAATAAATCTCCCCATACACGCCATTGTGCCAGGGATTGGATGACAATAGCACCTAGTCCTCGAATATAAGTAAGTAACTTGATAATCGCTTTGTGTCTCGGTGGATTTCGTCACCACGCATCTAACCAGCTCCAGGTTTACATATTTGGCTCTACCTCGGGTTGACTAAATTACCCGTGAGCCCTCTCAATACATACACATTTATAAATAAGGGTATCAATACCATATGCACTTCTGGTGTTCACTTGCATATATTCTGGACCGGAGAATCTTAATAAAACCAACTTCGGGCAGGGACGTAGGGTGGCGAAGTGATAATACCATCAATCAGATATAATCATTTCGAAGTGGCTGGGAAGACTTGTACCCAGAATGTGCCGCTATTATACTGAAATTTGAGGAGGCCTGGAATAATAAGGTGTGTTAAAATGGGGTTTGTGGTATAACGAACATATTGACCATTCCGAATCATACAATGGACGAACGCGTCCAACGCCATGTCGATACGTGTAGCTTAATTTTGGACACCAGAAAACCATGGTCCATAGTTATATTTTTAATAAAGGTAGCGCACAAGAGATAAATGACTGTCCATCACAAAAGGAGAAGGTAAATAACTACACATCGATGAAATATTCAAGGCACAAAATAAAATTTCCAAAAGCTGATGAAGGAATTTGAGGAGATCGGCAGCAATATCCAGCCATGCGACAACCAAGAAAACAACTTCAAGATATCAAGCCCAGTCAGTCCACAGTACATGGCCCTCCCGAGGGATCTGCTTAGCAGCCGAAAGATATGTTATGCGGTATGTTAAAATACTGGTAGATGGTCTCAGAATTGGCAAATTAACATGAATGAAACAAGGCTTGCCGTCAAGTGGGGTGTTATTGGATCATTGCTTCCAGGCACTGGAATACAAATAGAACACTTGGGATCTTCTCCCATTGGGCTGCACTTCCTCGTATTGGTAGATGAAGATATGTTTGTGAATGACCAGTATTCAACACCTAAGGTGAAGCATCTAGATGCGACCTGGTAGTAGTAGTGTGTCCTTACCGTGATGGAAGTAACCTTGGTATTGTGTGGGAATACGAGGAACCCTGAAATATATTCCATTAATTACCAGGAAGTATTTTCTAAAAATGAGTTTAAACACTCACGGATCATCATAGTGGACAGCTTTGTCATACGACGTCCCATCAGCGGTTGCCAAATGATATGAATTGCGAGGTATTCTCACAACGGAACAAATTGGCAGTACCAATAGCTTCATTAGCTAATTTCGCATATCTCTGATCCCCTGTCCTGAGAGTTTCAATATTATGTTAGGTATACACTTTGGACGCAAATAGATATATCTACAGACCTGGGTTGGCCATATGTATATATACGGACTGGGAAGTTTGGATTTCTAGACTTTGTTAGTGGTAGTTTATTGGTTACGTTAAACTAGTCCGCACATACATTTTCTGGTACGTTGTTTTTAAGGTAATCCCAGCAAGACTCGCGAGCGCACCTACTATATCCATCAATTATTGTATCTCTGAACAGGAACGCTTCTGACCGCCGAGTGAATGTCCTGTGGTGACGATAGAGTAATTCGAATAAACCTTCCTTTGCTCATCGATAATCAGATGGATGTCATGAACTAACTCGTTCCACCTAAAAATGACAGCATTTAATGGTAAGACTCGACCATGAACTACATGATGAATGCACGCACGTACGAAGAAATCCGGTGCGTACCTGGGTTCCCGCTATTAAGTCCAGCCCAGTTTCATTAATGAGCGGCATCAGGAATCTCCATACTAAAGTTTACCATAGTTGTAATACCCAGATACAATGAATGGAGTAAGGGAAACTGGAAGGTTATGATACCAATCTACAATTGAATCGCTACGAATATCATGTTAGATAAATCATCTAGAATATCCTCGTTAATAGATACTTACGATCCTCGAAAAGCAACGACAATTTCTTTGTCACTATCATGGCGTGCGATAAAGACCTGCGTGTCAGGAAAAGTATTGTTGATCTAAAACTGAGTTTCAGAAAGCAATTATAAACTTTATTAATACTACCCCCCCCACCGTGCCAACTACTCGTGCTCCATTCGGCATCGCGCCAACTCTCAGGCACCGATCTGAATATACTGAGGTCGCGTCTATAATTGAAGTAAGCAGGAAGCGATAAAATAAGGGACCAAATTAAATACATTTATAATAGTACACCAGGTTGTCATATTCAGGTTTGCCTTCAGTCATTTTCAGCAAATTTTCGGGCTTGGGGAGGGCGTTGAACATACTAATTATGTTGAATTCTTCTCCAACAGGTTTGTGGCTCGCCTGCACTGGGGAAGACGAGACTACGGTGAAGAGGCTGGATAGGGTCAAAACTGGTAAAAAGGTCCAGGACTTCATGGGGGGAAACGGTGGTTCAGGAGAAACACGCGGCCATGCTTGCCAATACTTATAGCCCACCTCAGTATCACATTGTATGGTTAGAGCGAATTATACTTCAATGAACAATAGTGTCAGGGGTAGATGTTCGGGAAATGAGCCCTTTGGCTTCTTGGCCCCTAATTCGCTATCTGGAAGCGGAGTGCTTCGTTGTGTGAAAGTTATTCCACCAATATCAGGATAATCTTGATGAAGGAGTAAAAGGAAAGAGCACATGGATATCGATATTTTAGGTTAAAACGAGTGAGTTCTTGATACAGGGGTTGTTTTACTCTTTGAGCATGTTCCTAAGGATCTTGGGCTTACCTCGGGAGGTAAATATTAGAACATGGCCTTAAGATTTCCGTGGTTCCTTCTGCTCAGGAGGAAAGGAAAATGTAGATGCGGGTGGTGGATAAGGCTCCACTGACACTTATCTTGAGTGGTTACATTACCAGGATTGGATGGTGGTTCGAAGCATATTCTGTACAGATAAGATCTCAAATGGAGATTGTGAGCGGCCACCAAATGGCCGCATGGAATACTTCTCTGAAATGAAATAGTTTGAGAGTGCTTCTTAATTTTCTTTAAGAGAACACTATACAATATTCGGGGAACTTACACCTACATACGGTATAACCCGCCCCCTCACCGTCTCGCCATACACTTAACCTTGGCCACATACCATTCTTCTAGGGGCTAAAAAAAATGAGCGGATTTTTTGGAAATATCAGCCCTAATGGAGGTTAAAGTGTCCTTGGCCTGGTATAGCATATGTATTACTGATTCTTCTTAATGACTCAGGATCTTTCCAGAAAGGCACATGAGGCATGCGAACGAGCTACCAGTAGTAGCGTTATTATCTTGGAAGCTCGTTCCATGGATAGACGCGATCCTAGCAAGGTAACTGTTGCTAAAGAAACAGGAACGAGGGCCTCTATCGATTTGATTTATGATCCAGATAAAGGGCGAAAACGTGAAGCGAATGCGTAGTTAGGTAGTGAGCGTATTCAAAAAAAAATGGAGAGATGATCACACCTCGGAAGAGTCCACAGTATGAATAATCCCAGCTGCAATGGAACATTGTTAGGCTGCCAATTAGCCAAGGCTTCCGCGAGTCCCTAGGTTCGATTCCTGGGTGGGGATAATTAAGAAGACAATGATATATTTTTATTTTAGCGGGTGTGGGTTCACTGTGGAATCTCGGAGGTGCGTGGATCTCCAGGTGGGTTGTATTTTCTTGTGAGAATTCCTCTTGGGGTTTATTGGGATTTGGGAGGTTGTAGTTGGAACCTAGCTGTACTATGCAGTCCATCTTGTATTTCCAGAGGTCAAAGCCGAAAATCCTCAATCACATGTGTATGGCATTCCGCTTGCTGGAGATCATGTATGCTAGCACATTGAGATACGGTAACTCGAACTTGACCTCATAAGGGTGTACCACACTTGTCCGGACCAGCGTTGCGACTTGTAGGGATGAAGGTCATTACAGTGTTCCTTACGCGTCAATGCATGTTCCCACTGTACCCCTGATGCCAATTGATGCTTCAGGATCGTCCTGACCATGCAGTAAACTCAGCTGGAACCACCGATTGATTTATCGAGTTGATTAGGAACCCCGTTTCTTTTGAAATGTTTTACGGTGGGGACGTGAGTTGGGATCCCTATAATAAAATTCCCCAGCTTGGGCACTAGCAAGGGTAAGAAACTAGAGATTGAATAATCCTTCCGGGTGTGGGTAGGCTAATGCACTCACCTGGCGATGCAGTTATGATCTCAAGCCCAGTCTCCTTTGATTCCCCCCTACTTCCAATCCTAAAGCGCACTATATGAAAACAACACCCTTGAGATCAGCAATTCTGTTTACACAGTAAAGATATCTTATTATACAGTAATGGAGGTACGTTCGCCAAGGACTGCGGAATGATGAAACTCCAAGGACCCATGGATCTGCTAGATCTCGATTCTCAATTTGTGGCCTAAGTGGCAAATACAGTTTCTAGAAGCTATAACGGACAAAATAGCGTACATACCAAGTGATATGTTAGAGGGGAGAGCTGCAGAGCTCAGAATGCCTTTTTAGGCGCCTCGTCATGTTCGTGGTCGTTGTTTGTACGTTCGGCGATTTCGGCAATGTTGAAACCAAGGCAGCACAGCCACCTCTCGGCATTCCAGGCCCGACTCTGTATGTTGAGTTTGATTTCGGGTTTGAAATTTTCGTGGTGCTGGTCCGTGCACTCCTTCTACCCGCATATGCACTAGGCCTCTCTCCAGATAGGCTTTCCCTCGCTTGGTGTACCCGAGCTTCCCACCGTCTAATGGTGTTTCGTTGCGCGGTTATGGTGAGTTGGAACCGCCGTTTGGACCCCTGGTTGGGAGGGTTGCTCTAGATTTATTCTAGATCCACAATATTGCGAGTAGATATATCTGGAAGGACGGACGAGGGGTACCCTAAACCTACAATGGTGGGACATTTCCTGTCAACTCCACTGTACCATCAAGGATAGATCAAACTCGCATTCTCTCAGTTTGAGAAAATTTGAATATAAGGTGATCTTTGGTGGTGTAGCGGCTTTAACATGTGTCAATGTCAATGAATACCTATGTTCATCTTCGTTACTGGCAGTTTCTGGGTTCGACCCCCGGTCAAGGATCTACATATGAAAAACTGGAAAGAACTTTTTTTATTTCTGGAAAGTTTATGAAGAACGGTGAACTTGGGATGAAATATTCGGTAAGCAGATACCAATAATAGTTTCCTACACCGTAGGTAGTGTGGATCTTTGAAATCCACGGTCAATGTGGGAGGAAGACTCTGACCAATCTTGCTAAAACTCCTAGCTATATTTATCACAAAGACGGACGCCGTCTGCAAAGGACCAACAAACAAATACAAAAATATCTTTCCCTCGTTAATTCCCTGCCTGGGAATCGAACCCGGACCCTTTCGCGTAGAAAGCACCAACGTAAGTGACTGTTGCTCTAACAGGGCTAATGATATAGGACCATTGGGTCAGAATATTCACCAATCTCATTGACTTTTTGATAGGTTTTAAACGGATGCCGGTGTACCGCGAGCATTTACATGTGTTTGTTCATGGGAGGAAACAGTCTGGGGGACGAGGGGAAACGGGGCTGGTGATATAAATGAAGCCTAGGATCAGCTGAGGGTGAGTCGTGAAGGAAAGAAATTGGGAGTAGCTGGAGACGTACGTCGTTGGTTCACAAGTAGGAGAAGATTTGCAGGGATTCACATATGCCCCAGATCCAGCCCTGGATAAAATCCCCCCATACGCGTCATACATAGTGATGTCAGCGTCATTGTTGGAGGTGAGCGTTAATTAGTCTCCTGCATTACACTGTGAATATATTACTTAATTTCAAAGGTCATGCCGAGATGCTTTGCAGAACGCGCAGAGTGGGGATTCACTAAGCTGAAGAAATGAATGCGGAATGTGTGTTGGGCCAGTGGACACTATAGTGATGATGTGTCGTTAGGGTAGGAGGATGAAAGTGGGTTATTTCGTACGCTTCATTTACTCAAAAAAAAAAAAATTTACAATCCCCGATAGGCATATATGTGGGAGCCATGTGCTACACATAGGCTCCACCTCCACAACCTCATGGCTTTCATCCGTTCAAGATTGATACAACGTACATCAAGATCCGTTCTTTTGATAACATTCTATCAAGGTGGCTATAAGAAGGAATTGTGCACAAGGTCCCTATGATGCGATATCGTATATAGTCAACAAGCTCCTTGCATCACTGGACTGATACATGCTTGCGTCCAGCATAACTGCGAAACAATCCATTGTTCTTCTGGATTAGACAACTTCTGCAACTCATTTTCTCAAATAACAAGGACCACGTGCTTTGGCTTTTGATTATGTTGGTTTTAACCACAGCCCCAAACCATGACATGTTTCTAGCTCCCGTAAGGTCATAAGAGCGTCATAATTTTCCAGCTATAATCATTAACGACATAACGATAGTATCGCAGAGTATTTACGGGGCCAATATAACTGTAAATTGGGAGCCAGAAGTCGGAGACAAGGGCAAATGGGGATTTTTATTCTCCAGGATCCCATATTCAGATGCCCATTTTCCATACCGAGCAGCTTCCACGGGCCTTCGGTTGAAAGTGGCAGGATGGACTTTTTTGCTCGTAGAAATTCGTACGGATTGTGATTATCTTTGGATCTTTGGCTTAACCCAAACGGCAGGCTAGAACATGGGTTGGACCTCGGCCTGGTTCATGCCTATTTCAGATCCTTAACAGGGTCGAATCAGACGAGTACGTCGTTCTTCTCCTTCATTTAAGGTATCAACGGGGATTAATACAAGTAATAACAGGCCTTTTATTCCCGAAAATGGGGCGTTTACGCCTAATATTACAATACCTCGATTTTTAATAACCACCACATCCTCAACACGGCTAAAGAGGTATGAAATCTTTCTAGATTTATTTTCAAATTCTTATCTAATAATATTTTAAATAGTACTGTGGCCTCAACTTCATCTGCTGTTGAAGGCGGACAAAACAGCACCAGAACAACGAGCACAGACATTGCACATAACCCCACCGCGGACCCGGGCTCGAAACACGAAGCATCTTCCCATGGAACAATCAGAGGAGGATCAGTCGGTGGCTTTATATTCTTCATCCTTCTCTCTATCATTCTGTTTTTATACTGCCGAAGACGGGAAAGATATGATGGCATCAAAAACGGTTTTAATATTCATAACAGTGATGGTATGGTTTTAATTTATCTCTATCCCAGTGTGGTTATATGAAAAATCAACCGCATCAGAGGCAGAACAAGCTCACAGTGTCACCAATTTTGGAATCCCTCGTTTTATCCATGGTGTTCGCCAGAAAGAACAACATTTTTCTGTACCCACAATGATGTACAATGGAGAATCTCCCCTGCAGGAGGGAAAACAAGGCAGGCATCTAAAATTAAAGGTCATAGATATCTATCACTAACGGTGATATTCCGCAGAACGAATCGAGCGGGCCCAGCGCGAAATCGCGGAAGTACAAAGACAGCGTGAGCCTGCCGAGTCGGAACTAGAACGACACGAACAAAGCGCAAGAGAATCAGAGAACAATTTGGATATTGAGGTGAACATGATGCGAGATCGGATAGATGAGTTGACCAGAAGGATCGAGGAGTTTGAGGTATTACGGCAGGATGACTCAGAAGTGCAGGCACTACCGGATTATTACTCTCGCTCTGCCCCGAGCCCCGTGAATCAATAAATGCAGGTGTGCCCAAAAACCTTTATCAAACTAATTGTTCGTGTTTAAATATATTGACTTACAATAGTCTTCTTATATCAGGTGCAAGAGTACATGTCCCACAAGCCGTAATGCCTGGACCATGTTGAAGTCATACTATTCCCGATACACGAATTTTCTGAATGGGTAGGCTGATGGCTCAAGGTAAAGGGTTTTAGTTGGGAATATGGCCTGGAGCCTCAGAGAAACTATTCTAGGCGTATCAATTAGATAATTTTAATATCAGAAAACTGGGGTGCATGTAAACCATCTCCTCACTCGAGTTATCATGATGTCATACAACTAATATATACTTTTCCTCACCTACCTTATCTGATGACCTGATTGTTTGGAACGAATCTTCGGAACGCGTTTACGAAGTATGTGCGTGAGTTATCAAACCATGCGTAAGGGGATCTATCTTATTTTGGATTTTCAGGTGAGAAGTAGGTACGCGTCATACAATTTCTAATCTCCACCTGTCTTCTTGACATTGGAATGTAGGGAGCGTCATATAAAAATATAAATGGGGTGGTGTTGGCAGGTGACACCATAAAACATCAGGTACAGTTTAATTTTACCATGGATATATATTTAATCACTGAAATCCAGTATACTCCGATCAACATTCCTAGGGCTCAAAGATCGTTCCCTATACTCATTGTCTTAATCGCTACCCCGTCAGGTAAATATAGTCCCTTTTATACATTGGTAGCCTCTGGCTTTCTGGGACGTTCCTAAGCTTGATCCGTATGCGGTGCGATCTATCCCTTTTCATTTTGAGCGCATCATCGTCCAACCTGTAAATAACATCAATTAATGACAATTACTTAGCGTAATCCTCTTGTTGTGGAGTACCAACACACCACCCTGCCTTCCCAGGAGTAGGACACCCTACACGTCCAATCCATCCTAAAAAATAGAGTCCGGATGAACCTATGTCTTTCCGAACAGTTGATTGGCAAGACAACCTCAGACGCGTATCGCTAAAGTTACCTATCTACCAAACAGTTCTCACCTACTACCACACATGCACTCACACCGCACCCGTGATGCATCCCCACATATACACTAACATAGTCATCCATGTCCCGCAGCCCTGCCCACAGCCCACCCCTTCACAGGAAAGGTTTCAAGAGGCGCCCTGTGTACGCCTATCTCAGGACATTTGACTCATGTTACCTTCTGCGTTTTCTAAATTATTACTTGGATGTATTGGTATAATTTGGTGGACACTATGTGGCGTTAGGGTAGGAGTAAGAGGAATAAAGTAGGTTATTTGGCAATACGATTCATTTACATATTGATCTTTTTTTCCTATTCTCAATAGGTCTATTGCGTGGGAGCCGTGGTTTATATATGGACTCAACCTACACAATCTTATGATTCTTATCCGTTAAAGATTGATGTAGTCAATACTGTTGTTGTGCAACATACATCAATATGTGTTCTTTTAGTAAGATTATATCAAGGCGGCAGTAAGAAGGAACCTATAAACAATGTCTCTGTGATGTGATACCATATGCAAATGGTCGACAAGATTCCTACATCACCGGTCTGATATATGCCTGCGTCCAAAACCCAACTGCTATAGTCTAAGACGCATATGTCATCTCACATAAGTTGGGATAATATTAGAAAATATGGGATGATCCGGGGGAGGGGGAGGGTGTGTTAATTTTTTTTTGGTCTGATATTGTATGCTTTTGGTGCTGTATGTTATTATGACCGGGATCAAGCGCCCATATTATAGCGTATAATCGATTTAATACTCTCCCTCTGTTTCTGCTCGAATGCCCCATGCAAACTTCGCTTGTACAGTGCAACTATTGAATCGACACCTGCAAATTGTACCCAGAATGGCAGCCTGGTCGGAATCTCAGAGCCAGAAGTGCATTTATCTCTACAGCTATGCCAAAGATTATTCTCGCTGTTAAAAATCTTATCCACCAGTTATATCATCTTTTGATATAACACTGTTGTCATGCAACATACATCCAACATGTCTAAGGTTCTATCACGGTGGTTGTAGGAAAGAATTTATGCACCAGGGCCCTACGATGCGATACTATGTATAGCTGACATTTACCTTGTACCGCACATCTCATAGATTTGCCTAACCAACAAGGAATTTCCTGGTTCGTTGGATTAAATAACTTATACAACTCATTTTCTCCATTATTAGAGATCCCATACGAAAGATTCTAACAATAGACTTTCAAAGCCATACCGTATCTCAGAGCCTGGTAAGATTATTGAGATGGTGTTATGACTATACATGCACTCTGGCCTTGGATAAAAGTAAATGTTCATCAAGGTTCCATCTTGGAAGCATCGGAAGGTCTGTATGTAAATAGTTCAGTTTTATCA